TTGGACTTCCCACGGCAGATACTTCCAAATATTCGTAGATAAACGTACCTACTAGGACTTGAACCCGAAACCCGCTCATGGAGAGTTGGGTGCCTAGACCACTAGGCCGCGGGATCCCAACCCTATCAATAATCATATTAAAATGCTAATAGCTCATATAAAATTTATATTGTTTTATAGGTTCAATTCATAGTAGCAACAGAAGAGTTGAATCTAAATTACTTAAAAACATGCAATATTACTCATTACTGGATGGGATTTCACCAAATACTGAAGGCCACTTAAAAACTTGTTTATAATTCATTGAACAAAAAACAATGAACAGCAGTCTTGCTATGTATAATGGAAATAACCGCTGAGAGTTTCTTTCAATATCTGTAAATGTCAAAGAAAACTCAAGTACTGGTTTGAAACCCTTTCCAGAAGAATTACTAGGGCCAATAAAAAAAAGGAATTTTCCAGAAGAATTACATTCTTTACTAGCAAGTTATTATAATAATACATATTATTATAATTTTGCATTATTATCTAAAATCCATATTAAACCAAATTACATACCAGTTTTGCTTAACATAAGTCAATAAAAGTAATTGAATATAAACCAGCATTCAATCATACTGTTCTGAATTTAAAACAAACAAATGTTTCTCTATTCTTTGTAGCAAAATAGATTACAATATATGGAAAGATAAATATTGGTGCTGAAATTTTTGGGTCAACTTTTTCTAAAAGGCATAAAACTTTGGCTAAAATACTTGCCAAATTTATATTGAACAACAATTCTACTGATATATTTCCTAGTCTCTAGTATTATGAATCGGGCAAAAAATCATAATTAATTAGTTAGTTGAAAATTTTTAGAAAATCGATTAATAGTTGATTATGCTTAACTAATCGATTAATCAATTAATCAATTAATCAGTTAATTGATTGGTTGATTAATTGATTAATTGACTAATCAATTAGTTAAATATCTCATATGTATGTATGTATGACTTTTACATTTAGTATACTTTTATATTCAGTATATAGCAGTATTAAATATCTCTGTACCTATAAGTCTAACATTCCAAAATGAAGCTGGTTATTTGTTTAATATACTGTTTATATAGTCTGACTTATAGAAAATTTTTTTTTTACAGTTAACTTTTTACAGGTTAAACTGAATTATTTTATTTCAAGTATAGCAAAACCCATATTTAATTTCAAATATTCATCTATTTTAATAATATATATTCCTAAATACATTATATATATATATAAATAAAAATATATAAAAAGGTATGTATATATTTAGAATAAAAATTTTACTTATCGTTATACTAAAAAATTTTTTTAATTTACTTGTTTAATAGAAGAAAAATATTTAGATATGCTAAATTCTATTTTAAGAGCAATAATTGATATAACATATGAGGATTTAATCAGTTTTGTTTAGAAGTTATGTGGTTACTCACATCTGAAAATAGGCATTTAGAAGGAACAGAAGACACAGGAATAAAAAGATACTTTCTTGCAAGTAAGCAGAGCATAGAAAAAGTTAATTCTTGTTGCTTCCACCATGTTAGTAGATTATTTTCTTCAGTTTGTTCTATTTGAGTTATAGCAAGATATTTATCAAATTCCAATTGATTATTAGAGATTTCATTGTCTTGCTGTCAATTAGAAGAAAAAAAGAATTTCATTGTTGATTTTTTTTCTTTTTTTGCTTGTACAACTTGTGGTAAACTGGTTTCATTGTCTTCTACTTGGTTGGTTTGTCCATTTAACTCATTAAACTCTTCTTGTAATTCTTCAATCATTTCTTTTTTTAATCTCTATTATAAAATAATTTATATAAAGATATGTAAAATATTTAAATAATAATATTAAAATATATACTTACAGAAGAACTAAATAACAAATTCTTGAACCTAGGATCAAGTAAAGACGCATACATTCTATATTTATATGGACTTGACCACATTAGCTTCTAATATACTTACTTTATTTGAGTATCTCTTAATTGCTTTCTTTTTTTTCTCCACTCATACATGTAATTAATAATTTACACTTCGTAATCAAATTGCTAGCGACCTCCAAACCTGCATTAACACTTAACTACAAAGTGTGTGCAGCACAAAAAATATTGGCAATTGGCTTTGATACTGGAAGACTTGTTGAGAGTTTTGTAATAGCTGCTTTGACATTAGCGCTAGTATCCGTTGTAATACTTAATATTTTATTTTTTTCTATACCAAATTCTTTAAAGGTTCAAGAAACTCAATGATATTATTTGCAGTTTTATATGTACCTAATTCAATTACACCTAATGTAAGATCGTTTATATGAAATTCATCTGAAACCCAGTAGCAAGTTACACCTAAATAAGAGTTATGTACATATAAATTGAATGTAAGTGATATTAAGCCCATATAAGTATGAAGCATTTGTTTGATAGTTTGAGTTGTATAATAATATCCATCTGCTATTTCATTTTTGATAGTGTTTATACAAGGTAGTTAAGTACCAAGGATCAAAGCAATATAAAAGAGCGTGAAAATATTTATTTTCAATTAAAGATACAGAAAGCATGCAAGAAATAAAAAATATAATAATACCTATATAAGTTTTTGTTGCTTTTGGGCCGAATGGGGTCTTATTAAAACTTTTTCTAATGTTTGCTAAGAAAGATCAGCTATTTTATTTTTAAGAGAGGCTTTTGTTATATGATGTATATCACAAAGATGCTTTATCATATTAGTTGTGGAGCCATGCTATACATATTCGGTTGTACAATTAGCAACTTTATATCTAACTTTGGTTATAGATTTATTTTCAAGACAAATTTCAGGTTTTTCGTAAGATTCAAAAAAGTTTTTAATAAAGTGGTCTTTATTGATAGCAAGTTTAACTTTTTTAACACTATAACTCTCAGTATTATCATTGGTAAGAGATTGAGGTGATTGAGAATGCGAAGGCAAAATATCTTCATCTTGATCAAAAGAATATAAATTATCTGATATTTGATTATAATTAGAGAATTTGGGATCATAATCATCATCTATTGAAGTAAAGATTAAAATTAAATAAAAAATCAAAGTAAGAAAATTATATTTATTTTTTTTAATTTTCAGATCTTTTGTAAATAACATTTATTTATATAATTGCTATCAAATAATATACAGTTCAAAATGCAAGACTTTATTAGAACAACCATATATGAAAAGATAGTACAGTCAAACCTCCATAAATGCAACCTTTATAAATACAATACCTCTCTATATGCACGTTTCTGGCCTGGCTATAAGAAATCATTAGTGCTAAATACACGTTCTATATTCTGCAAATGCATATTTACTCAAAAGATTTTTATATCATACTAACCTCCCTAAATGCACGTAGCCAATCAGAATTCAGTATTCAAGTTGTGTTACACAAGCCTGCAGATCAAACATTAAAAGCTGCAATTTGATTGGCTTTCTCTAAATGCAAACCTCTCTAAATGCATGATTGAAGCTGGTCTGTACACAGTGCACTTATGGAGGTTTGACTGTATTAACAATATAATACTGAATTCATAAACAATAGTGGTATGCAGGCACACATATTTATGTATATATAATTCTATCTAATTGTTTGAAAACTACTTTTAACAATAACTTTTAAAATTTTTTTTATAATTTTATTCAACAACCCATGAATTTTATCATTATGAAGCTGAATATTGGCTATTGTTCTTTAATCAAGATACTGTATAAAGATAAGAAATTTTTATTTAAATTATATATTATTTCCAAAAGCTACTTTAACAACTCTTTATTGAATAATTTTCCCATAGCTCTATTACACCTAAATATGATAGATGAACAAATACTATCAATAAAATGATTTTGGAAACTAAATATCGAAAGCTACCTACAGGTATATATATGAATATGTGCACCTCTATATTACCATTGTTTATCAACCTAATTTCATAAAGATAAACCTTTCTTTAATCAGGTGTAATAGTAAAAAAGTTTTCATTTATGTGTATATGGTTTATATAATTTTCTAAAAGCTATTTTAATAACAAGTTTTTATTAAAAATTTTCTTATTCAAAATATAGTTAGTAAATACTGTTATAAAGTTCTATGAAGAAGAAAAAATACTTAGGATTTGCTTATTTGGGCTAGTAACATAAAGCTAAAAAAGGAAACTTAACAAAGAATACATATGCATCGTACATCAATCATTAACATTAATGGAATATATCAAGTTATAAAATTACAACAGGACTTTAGAGAGCTTCCAGAAATCAGCTGATTTATCTTTACTATAAGACTACCCCACCCACACCTGACACTAAAAAAAAAAAAAGTACATTCATGGCTTGTCAAAAAAAGAATTAAGGCACCAATATGCATATTGCACTATAAGTATATCAATTCATAGTATATATATATATTACAAATCAATTTCGCATACATACATCACACGATTCCTGTATCTTTTATTTATGTATATGAAATACAGTCAAACCTCTATAAGTGAACTGTGTACAGACTAGCTTCAATCGTGCATTTAGAGAGATTTGCATTTAGAGAAAGCCAATCAAATTGCAGCTTTTAATATTTGATCTGCAGGCTTGTGTAACACAACTTGA